ACACATACTCACACTACACAAATATGTGCACATGCACACATATATCTTTTCCCTAAATGAATAAAAAATTAAGACATATTAAATTATTATTTAGTTGATCCCCCACCAGGATTCTGCAATGGTGAGGTAAACTAAATTACATTTGCTAAATAATAGAGAGGGTAGAAAATTAAACAGTTATAATTTTTGTATCTAAGATTAAATGAAGCAAAACATTGTTTAGTTTATGCAGAGATTCTTTTCCTAAGAATTTTTAAAATAGTCAACTTGTTTAGGGGAAAAAGGATTTTTTTCCTCACAGACTATAAGTGACCACTTGTATTTTTAATAATACCTGTATTTCAGGAAATATCTGCAGTTTGTGACATTAAGAACATGATGATAGAAACAAAAATATCATTCTTTCAGTTCCAACTTGTTTAGTAAATATCCTAATATTTGATTTATAATATAACTCATCATGGTTCTCTTTCTAAGACATAGGCAAAGTATGGATCCATATTTTATTTTCTTCTCTAATGCACTTATCCCCCTCACTAACAAAAAGCTTTCTCATAGTCACGTCTATACTCTTCACCATCACATATCAACTTCACTAAGCAGCCTCTCCTCTTTGGCGGTTCACACTATCCAATTTATCACCCAATCTCGATGCCGCCAGCTGTTACCTATTCACTTGCAGGGCACTCTCCTTTGCTTGAAGAGTTTAATGGCTAGCTCAGTCTTTGTTGTCTTCCCATCACCAGCCCTTAGAATAAGAGAATTAACATACATATTGATGCTCTTTCAACTAACTTCCCAGTTCTTCAGCCTTCTTAGTTCCCATAACTTACTCCTCCACTCCACCTCAGCTACCTGCTAAGATATCCTATTTGCAAACTCTAAAATTTCTTTATCTTGTAATTTTATCTTTATCTTTCCCTATGCCATTTAACCCCTTCCAACTCTGCTCTTTGTCCTTACCATGGAGGGGCCTCCCTTGCCCACACCACCATGTTCTTTCCCAGACTATTGTTCTATACCTACTACACTCTCCTCCCTTCTGTATCTTGACCCTTTTGATAAAACAACTGAACTCTACACCATCTTTCATTCTTGAATCTCTTTCTGCATTGCCCTATCCTTGTCAAACACCAACCCAGATTATTTCCATCATTCACCACCTTTGCTCCTATTCACAAACTATTTAACAGAGATGGTGGAAATCACAAAATTGTTTTGATTGGTTCCATTACAAACATAATGGGCCCTTACTAGAGCAAATGTTATTCCTCCCTAATTGATTTTGCTACCTCAATCTCTGTAGTGACTGTCCCAAACCTGGACAACCCTCAAGCCTCCTACAGAACCATTGCTAATGAGAACTTTGTCTCTTACTTCAGTGAAAAAAAGAGGTCATTTGTTAAGAGTTTCCTTTATTCCCCTTGTCCTTATTTCACATCCTTCAGTTATTCTACCTTACTATCTCTTCTGTCATTCCAGTCTTGAATGAAAAGGTGGTCCTCTTGACCAAAGCCAATCCCTCTGCATATACCACTGGTCCCGTCCCCTCCCAATTCCTTCAGCAAATTGTCCATACTTAACCCAACTCTCTTATCTTTCCCTATTTACTGACTCCTTCCAACTTTCCTGTATCTCCCCTATCATTAAAAAAAATAAAAAATAAAAAAACCTTCACTTGATTTTACTATCCCTGCTAACTCTTTTCATGGTTAAACTTGAGGAAACCTGTGTTTTCGCTGCCACCTGGCTTCCAATTCTTATCATTTAACTGAACTGCCCTGTTCAAAGGTACCAGCAATCCCTCTGCCAAATCTTGAGGAATAGCAAGTAGACCAGCTTTGCTGGATCATGGAATGTGAGGAGTGAGGAGATTGGAAGCATGGAAGGGGCCAGGTTATGAAGAACTAAGTACACAGAACTTTATATATTTCCTCAATCAACCTTCTTGACCTCTCTGGAGAACTTGACACTGTTGAGCATACCCCCCTTTCTGGGATTTTGTGATACCATTCTCTATTGGTCATTCCATCTGACCACTCCTCAGTCTCCTTTGCTGGATGCTCCTCCAGGTCACACTCACAATGGATGTACTCCAAAGCTCTATCTTGATCCTATTTTCTTTTTCTCTATACTATCTCCTTTAATTTCACCAGTTCCCTTAGGTTCAATTATCATCTCTATGCAGGTGATCCTAAGATCTATATGTCTAGACCTAGTTTCTCTCCTGAGTTACGGTCCCATATCACCAACCACCTTTTGGACATCTCAGACTCAAGTATCTCCTCACTTCAGTACATCCTCCACTTAGCTGCCACTAATTTTTCCTAAGTGTGGCTTTGACCATGTTACCTTCCTCTTCAATGAACTCCAGGATCTCCCTGATTCAAGATTAAATATAAAGTCCTACGGCACTGAAAGCTCTTCATAACCTGGTCCTTTCCTACTTTTCCATTCTCCTCGCACTTGACCTCACTCCTTATACTCCATGATCCAGCAAAGTTGACCTATTCAAACAGGACATTACATCTCCTGTATCTGTTGTTCCTTTGCACTGGCTATTCTCCCTATTTATAACGCTCTTCCTTCTCACTTTTGCCTCATGCTTTCCCTGACTTCCTTCATAAGACTCAGTTCAAATCTCACTTTCTTCAGTAAGTTTTTTCTGACCCCGATTCCCTCCAACCTCACATGCCTTCTACTCTCAGATTACCTTCCATTTACTCTGAACCTTGTATGGTACAATACAATCTTCTCTATTTACATGTGGTCTCCTCCATTAGAACGTATGCTCACTGAAATTAGGGATTGTGTTTTTGTTTTTCTTTGTATCTCCAGGGCTTAGTATAGTACCTGGAATTTTAGGGTTGTTTTTTTTTGGCTGAACCAAACAGGTTTATTATATCAATCACAATGACTTATTGTCAGTGACTTATTTGCTATCAACTAGTTTTAATACCAGTTATTAATTTAAGCATTTAATAAATGCTTATTCACTGGCTGACTGACACCAGGGTGGGAATGAGGAAAGGCTTCATGAAGAAAGCACCAAAGCTGGATTTTAAAGAATTGTTAAGAATTCAACAGGTCCAGAGAAGTGGGGAAAACATTCTAACATAGTGAGTTAGAGCAAAAGTATCAAAGTAGGAAGGTGAGAGCATGTATCCCAGTTTGGCTAGAATATAACATAGCTGATAGAAAAGATGTGCTAAAGCTAGAAAGACAGGGTGGGGCCAGATTCTAGAAGGCTTTGAATGCTAGGCAACAGAATGTGAATTTTACTCAACAGACAATGAAGTATCATTTAAAATTTTTGAGCAGAAGAGTGACATGACCAAATCTATGCATAAGGAAGATAAGTCAAACATAAGTATGAAGGACGGATTAGAAGTTAGGTGATAAGGACCTGAACTATGATGGTGGTAGAAGGAATCAAGAAGAGGGTATCTATATGAGGCTACCTACAGAAAAATTGCCTCAGATAATTGGGAGTTGGTCATTATTCTACTGTATTATGTCACCTTCCCCCTAAAATAGACTTAAAGTAGCTTAAAAATAATAATTTTCACTATTCTTAAATTTCATTGAAATATTCTTTTATGCATATATTGACATTTTTAGAAGCTATGTTAAAGTTCCTCACCTTCTGAAAAAAGGGAAAAATTATTTCATAGGGACAAAATTATCTTCATTACAATAGAACTATGACTTATCATCCTAGAAATGTCTAGACCATTATTTATTTAATTCCATTTGGTCCATCTACCTCTTATATTCAGGAAATCAGAATTTTAGGGAGAAAATTCTTCTAATTCAATGAGTTGTAATTTTGGTGGCATTAGAACACAACAGTAATTGTGCTAAGTAAAATTAGTCAGTCAATAAGCATTTATTAATCATCTCATATGTGCCAGGCACTGTGCTAAGTGCTAGGGATACAAAAAGAGACAAAAGACAAGTCTCTGGCCCTAGGAGCTCACAATCTAATAGGGGACAATATGCAAACAACAATATACAAACAAAATAAATTATTTTGAAGTAATCAACAGGGGAGGCAATAGAATTAAGAGGGACTGAGAAAGGTTCTTGTAGAAGGTAGGATTTTAGTTGGGACTTGAAGGAAGCCCAGAAAACCAGAAGGTGGAGATGAAGAGGGGTAGTATTTCAGGCAAAAGGGATAGCCAGAGAAAATGCCTGGAGTCAGGAGATGCAGTTTCTTGCTGGAGAAACAGCAAGGAGGCTAATGTCACTGACTCATTGTGTGTGGGGTGAGGTGGGAGAGGGTTTAAGAGAAGATGTAAAAAGACTGGGACAGTCTTGGAAGACTATGGGAGAGAAGGTATCTAGGTTATAAAGGGCTTTAAATGCCAAAGAGAGGATTTTGTATTGAGCCTGGAGGTGATAGGAAGTCCTGGAGTTAGGCAGACCTGTGTTTTAGGAAAATCACTTTGGCAGCCCAATGGATGGAATGGAGTGGGGAGAAACCTGAGGCAGGCAGACCCACCAGCAGGCTATTGCAATAATCCAAGTGTGAAGAGTTGAGGGGCCTGAATCCAGGTGGTGACAATATCAGAGAAGTGAAGGGGGCATATTTGAGAGACATTGCAAAAGTGATATTGACAGGCCTTGGCAACAGATTGGATGGTGTGTGTGTGTGTGTGTGTGTGTGTGTGTGTGTGTGTGTGTGTGTGTGTGTGTGTGCGCATGAGCGTCTGCGCACGGGTTTGGGGGGAGGTGGGGTGGTTGAAGATGACATCTAAGTTGTGGGCCTAAGGGACTGTGAGGATGGTGGTGCCCTTGACAATAAAAGAATAAGTTGAGAAGATAACATGTTCAGTTTGGGACAATTCTAACAATATATTTAGAAATAGTTTACTTAAATGTCATGAGAGAAGCATAAAAGGAAGACAAATAACATCATATTCAGATTTATGAAAAATAAATTTATTACATAACACCTTGTTTTTAACAATGTTCAATTTTTTCCTCAGAATACTTGCGTCATTCATGTAAAATAGTTTGATACAGTACATTGTATGTTATAGGTTTTTTTTTTTTCTCCTCATAAATTCTAAGGCTCTCCTACTCCTTTCTCCTTTGCTGAAGTAAGGGCACCCTAAGTAACGTGCGAACAAGTTTTAAGAAAGAAAATTAAATGAACAAAATTTTAATTCCACTACACCAAGTCAGCTCTGAAAATCAGGACAAAATATCTGAATGGATGCCGCACCTTTTTAAAGGAAGTTATCTCCTCATGCTTTTTCATCTCAAAGCATGCTCACAATCAGCAACACCAACAGAAAAAATAAAACACTGTCTATGACAATCTTTTTAGTTTGTTTGTTAAACCGAAGAGGTTTATATCAATGACAACATACTTATTTACTATCGAATAGCAGCTTTAATACCAGTCAAGTCATCGATTTAAAAAACAAAAAACAAATTCATAGGTTGGAAATTAATCTTTGGGAGTTCTGAAATCTGCTGGAAAAATTGCATGGCTTTATGTATTTTGAAAAAAATATGTACTAATTTTGTTGGTCAAAAACACTGATCATGTGGAAAATGAATCAACCCATTGAAAAGACTAAAAAGAAATATATACCAAAATAATCTCAATCTGAATCTTGATTATTTTGTTGGTTTTTGTTGTTGTTAACATATACTGTATGTTTCAAGTACCAGTTAAAGGATTTTGCGTACTATTGGTCAGATAATGTTACATCAAGAGAATTCACCACATACAACAAGGAATGCCTGCCCCTAGCACATTTCACAGCTTCAACTGCTACAGACTGTCACTGAAAAAATGCATTGGTCAGTCTGAACCATGTCAAGTAAACTATGGAAGTAGCATATCCACAACACAAACTGTGCTAGCACTTTCTTTTCAAGTCTAACTCCAAAAACAGGTAACATTTGCAAGCCACTACTCCAATCTGTGAAAAGTGGTAGAACTTGGCTATTGGACATTTTGAAGATGTGGTTGTACAGTACATTCGCATGGCCCATACCAGGTTCCAGGCAGAGAGCTGCATGGTCAGTCCTGCAGCATTAGCAACAGTGCATTGACATTATTCAGATGCAGCTCAGTACCGGTGTGTCTGATGTGAGTACTGTGGAGGCTGCTGGGAGGTAGTTGAATATCCCATGCTGCTCTGTGGCTGTGATGTGCTTGGTCCAGGGTTGGGATAGGCAGCATGTGGATTGGAACGCTAGGAAAGGAGGCAAAAGGCAAAAGGCGTGAGTTAAGTGAGTAAGCAATTCGCAGTTGCCATACCCTAAAATGACATTGCTCATGTGATTCTCAATGAAATGTGCTCACAAATCTCTTCTGAGTCAAGGATTTAGGTCAGATTAAAGTGACTTTTAATACCAGTATCAATATTTTGCATTTTATGCTTTAAATCTCGTTTTTTGATTCATTAAACATACTTTGTTGGAGAGATAAAAAGCCTCCATTACAATGCAATGCATTAGTGAACAATGATGATGCTCAAAGACAGGGTATCCCTGGCTACCCTCTCAACTACTGGATGCTCCTACTCTGGTGTGTTCCAAAATCACTGGACCATGAGAAGGTGGGCGGTCCCTCTCCCTCAGTCCAGACTATCAGTTTACCACTAACATTTAGCAATGCCTCCTTTGAGGTTCACTCCATCTACCCAGGAATACTTGCTGCAGTTATCTAGATTTCTCTTCTCCACCTCAACACCTGCCCTTTGTACACATTGATGTCCCTTCACCTAACTCCCATGGCCATCTTTTGCTCCACCTCAGCCACACACAAATGACCCTTGATCTTATCATTATCCATAACTCTTCCACCCGCATGGTCTAGAACTCTCAAGTTCCCCTTGCTGAATCCAACCTTCTGTCAGACAATCTCCTTCTGCTTCACTACTTCACCTCTTCTTTGTACATATCATTGTGTGGGCCTGTCCCCCACTCCTCCCTATCCTCCTAGTCTATCACTCCTGTTCTGTCCTCACTTCCTTTCCTTCAAAGTCCTGACCTATGGTCAACTCATTCAACCAAACACTATGTTCTGCCTATCTCCAATCCTGGGTTACTACCCACTTCCTTTGCTCCTACCTACATGCTGCTAAACATTTGCTGGAGAAGGTTCTGCCACCATGGCGACTAACTTCACTACAAAATAATCACCACCTGTTTGCCATTAGGAGCTTATCACTGCACATTGCCCTGCCACATCTCCTCCTTTACCTTTGCCTCATGCAATCTCAAGCTTCCTTCCAAGCATAGATCAGTTGCTGCTTCTTACAAGAGGCTTGGCCTGGTTCCCTAGCTGGCAGTGGTCTCTCCATATTGAAATTACCTTTTATTTATCTTGTATGTGTTTTACATTAACTTCTCTGCATAGATGTTGTTCCCTCCTGTAAGAGTAAGGGCTAGGACTGTTCCATTTGTACCTTACCCATTGTCTAATATTCAGATGAATCTATCACCTCAGTGATGCAGATCAAAACCATAAGGGGCTTAATAAATGTTTGTTGAGCTGATTTGAACTAATTTCTTAACAATTTTTTACTTTAACTTATTGCTTTATACACTACATTTTTAACATGTGTAAATCTTACTTCTTATCCAGATCAACTCAAGACAATAAACAAAAGAAGAAAAAGAAATATGACAGTGGGATGGAAGATTTAATGTAGAACAAACTCTCATTGTAGGCAGGGACTATGTCATTTTCGTCTTTATGTTGCCAAGTCTAGCACAGTGCATGCCACATAATAGGTATTTAATGAATGCTTGTGAAAGTATCTATGAAAGTAAAAGCAATATATTGGAAAGATAAGGGGGAAAGCAGAATTTGTCAAATTTGGTAACTATACACAGAAAAACAGAAATAACAAAATATTTTTGATAGCTCATCTAAGTGCTAAGATTTTGTCCCCTACCTCACTATAACAAAAGCTTAGCCATAAAATATTCTGTTTCAAAGAACATTTTACAATATCATTTTTAATTTTGCCAGTGATTCCCTAGACTAATAATTTAAAACCACATATTTATAAAAATTAAAAACAAACATTTTCCCTCAAAATTAACCAACATAAACAACAGTTTAAAACACACTAAAGGATAAGCTTGATAAATGTCTTCACTTCTGAAGAATGCTGTTTAGAGGTTGTAGCATTGTTCTATTTCATTCCACGGTTATCATCTTAATAAGGTATAAACACATTCTTGAGCCAAAAAAAGTGGAACATGTATCCATTCAGGCTGGGCAAAGGGGGAAAAGAGGTAAGCTGTCTTTTGTTGGTGAGACCATGTACAATCAAACTATTATGCTGAAGTATATAAGAATTAGAGCTATGCTTTCTTGCTTAACCCAGATAGTATAGATACAGTCTTTCTCCAACAGCCTGAAACTCCGCTTTACTGTAACCCTGACCCTCCCCCCAATCAAGTCCCAAAACCAAATCCCTAGGATTATAACAATCTTCAAATCCTAATTCTTAAAGGTAACAGTAGCTATTTGGGAACTGTAGCATTCAATTTAAATGAGATCCTTTTCTTTCATATGTAGGAAAATAACCGGTTGAGTTTCCAGGGACCATCACATAGTGAACCCAGTTTGCTGATTAGAATAAGTAGGAAAGAAACCAATTCTCAAAACAAATCTTATAAGAAAATATATACATGTCATCTGAGTAGGAGACACGCCAATACTTAGGCAGCTAGGAGATACAGTGGATAAAGTGGTGGGCTTGGAATCAAGACTTTGGCTAAGACACTTCCTAGACATGACTTTTGGGCAAGTCATTTAACCTTTGTCTGTCTCAAGTGTAAAATCGTGATAATAATAGTATTTACCTAATAGAGTTTTTGTGAGGATCAAATGAGACAATATTTGTACAGTGTTTAGCTCAGTGCCTGTCACATAGTAGGAACTTAATAAATGCTTGTTCTCTGTCCCACGTGGATAAGGAAAATGTCTAAATGACACGGCTATACATTATTGAACATATACAATGATTTACTGCTTCCCCACTATCTCACACACATAAAACAGCTTTATAATGAAGTTCAAATTTTAAATACCTGATAGTCTGAGGTCATGATCAGTCCACCTGAGGTAGTGGTAGGAGGAACAACTCTCACTTTTTTCAATGGGGGTCCCTGTGCATGACTGCTGTCTTGATTCCCTGGATGACCAGTTCCATTAGTATGGTTATTGCCCTGCTGCTGCTGCTGGTTCTTCTCAATTGGTTAAACAGAAAAATAAATTTCAACTCAGAAGGAGAACAAAACTCAAGAGGCAAAAGGTTCGGGGTAACAATACAACAAAACAAGAAGCTATAGATTGTACTTCAATATTTACTTTGTCTCCCTTGTCATCAGGCTCTTCTTCTGTTAGAAATTCACGTTTAGGATAAGGGATCTGGCAACCTGCAAAGACACTGGCCATAAGAAAACAAATAGTTACTGTCTTTTTTACAGATGGAATCAAAGTTCTTGTGTCCTTATGGGGAAAACTGGCCTATATACAATGACTTTTGCATGGCCTCATTTAATTATTTTCTTCCTTAGCTATTTTTATAGAAAAAAAAAACTGGAATACATATTCTCAATGAAACGTTGCTTTGGCTAACAGATTTTTCTTACGTTGGCACTATCATCACCACTGCAGCTATGGTATCTGAACAAGGAAAGATGGCTAGTGAACTAGCCAGTACTATCTAATATTAAATTTCAATCATTTCAGATTTTAAAAAATACTTTTTATTACTTAAGGAGTAAAAGAAAAAACATTTTATTTCATACTTTCAAAGAACTTTTCACACGACTAAGAAACAACTTGAGTCTTTATTCTTAAATACTAACATTACTGCAGGTAGTTATAACTACTGCAGGTAGTTATAAAAAATAACGCCAGCAATCTCAATAGGAATTAGAATAGCATGAATCAACTTTCTTCCTGTGTCATTAGATTCCTCTTCTCTAGATGACGTTAGAGATTACCACCAAAATATGGTTCAGGTGTATCACTATGAAGATAGGAATTTATCTTTAAATGTTTGTTGAATTGAATTGAATTGAATTTCATACTTTTGGCCACTTTTATAACAAAAGATGAGATAGAAACACATGAACTAATTAACTGGCAAATGGCACTTGGCATTTCAGAACAGAGAGCTGGAACTGCAGGCCCAGAGCAGGAGTCTGGGAAGATCTATAGCATGAATAATCAACCTGTCAGTGAATAACAGGATTAGTGCTATGACTAACGGGATCAAAGTTTCATAAAGCAAGAGATTAAGAGAAATGCCATTTAACTTTAAACCCCTCAAATGGCATCTTGGTCATTAGTGCTCATTTTTAACTTGTCAGAAGTAAAGTCTTTCCTTTCCGGCCATTCTAGCAGTGGCTATTTGGAGAGGGGCAACTATGGGAAAACATGCAAGAAAACTTTTACTTGTCATGCTGACGGGGTAAGACGGCAATCACTTACTCTGATGTAGGAAGTGGATCTTCTAAGAAATAAGGATCCTGCATAGCCTGTTCTGAGGTAATTCGCTTTATTGGGTCCATAGTAAGCAACTTCTGGAGCTAAAACCAAAAGTCACAAAAGTATTAATATATTACTCTGAACCTTATAAATGAAGACTTATGATAGAAGGCCTGATTGTCTTTCAATAAACAAAATCTGAACGTGAGAGGTGCCTATTTGGACAAAGGAAATATATCAAAATTTAAAAGCTATTAGTCCAATGCAATGTCAGGCAATGAAAAGGGAGGGGGACGTGTAGGGGGAGTGGGAGCCTGAAGACCTGGGTTTAATATGAGCTCTACTACACACTGTGTTGTTGCCATTCAGTCATTTAGACATGTCTGACTCTCTGTGACCCCATAGACCACAGCACGTCAGGCACTTCTATCCTCTACTATCTCAAAATCTGTCCAAGTTCATGTTCACTGTTCCCATGACACAATCTATTAATCTCATCCTCTGCTGTCCACTGTTTCTTTTGTCTTCAATCCTTTCCAACATTGGAGTCTTTTCCAATGAGTCCTGTCTTCTCATATGCTTGAGCTTCAATATTTGATCTTCCAGTGAACAGCCTGAATTAATTTCTTTAAGCATTGACTAATTTGATCTCCATGCCATCCAAAGGACTCTCTAAAGTCTTCTCTAGCACCAAAATTCAAAAGCATCAATTCTGTGGTACTCAGCTTTTCTTATGAGTCCAACTTTCACAGTCATATGTTGCTACTGGCTTTGACTAAAGGGACCTTTGATGTCAAGGTGATATCTCTGCTTTTTTATATGCTGTCCAGATTTGCCATATCTTTCCTTCCAAGGAGCAAATGTCTTTTAATTTCATGGCTGCAGTTGCCATCTGCAACGATTCTTGAGCCCAAGAATATAAAATCTGACATTGCTTCCATTTCTTCTCCTTCTATTTGCCAAGAAGTGATGGCACAATTGCCCAGATGTTAGATTTTTTTATATTAAGCTTCAAGTCAGTTTTTATACTCTCCTCTTTCACTGTTATCAAGAGGCTTCTTGATTCCTCTTCATTCTCTGCCATCAGTGGTGTTGTCTACATATCTGAGATTGTTGACATTTCTCCTGGCTTAATTCTGACTCATCCAGCCTGGCATTTCATATTATGTACTCTGTATATAAGTTTATTAAATAAGATGACAATATACAGCCTTTTTGTACTCCTTTTCTAATCTTAAACCAATCAGCTGTTCCATGTTCGGTTCTAACTGTTGCTTCTTGACCCACATAGAGGTTCCTCAGGAGACAAGTAAGATGATCTAGTACTTCCATCTCTTTGAGGACTTGTCACACTTTGTCACAGTCAAAGGCTTTAGTTTAGTCAATAAAGCAGAAGTAGATGTTTTCATGGAACTCCTTTGCTTTCTCCACAGTCCAGTGAATGTTGGCAATTTGGTCTCTAGTTCCTCTGCCTCTCGGAAAACCAGCCGACTCTTCTGGTACTTCTCAGTTCCTATATTGCCAAAGCCTACCTTGTAGAACCTTAATCAAAATCTTCCTGGCGTGTAAAATTAGCACAACTGTTCAATAATTTGAACATTCCTTGGCATTGCCCTTCTTTAGGATTTCTCATCTGTAAAAATCAATCATCTCTGAGCTCCCTTACAACTATAAAATTCTTTGAAAATACATATACTCGGGGCAGGTAGGTGATACAGAAGATAGAACACCAACCCTGGAATCAGGAGGACCTGAGTTCAAATCCAGCCTCAGACACCTGACACTCACTAGCTGTGTGACCCTAGGCAAGTCATTTAACCACGACTGCCTTGCCAAAAAGAAAAAAAGAAAAAGGGAAAAAAAAGAAAATACATATACTCACATGACAAGTATTTTCTAAAACATACTAAAAATCCTTTTACTTTTGTACTCCTTTTTTGGGAAAGGAAGAGTAATTAAATTTCAAAATAATAAACTAGTGTAAATCAGTGATATTTTAAGGAACAAATATATTAAAAGGTAATACCTAAATTAAATAAAGATTTAATAAACTTAAGTAAAAACTGAGTCCATTAGGAAATATGTAAATAAAAGATTTGGATTTAATACTCCTTGTACACTCAGTGATCTGTTCTATTATAATTCTGAACTAATAAACCTCACTTGCCTTGAGGCTTAATATGAGAATATAAAAATAACAACTTAGATTTATATAATATCATACAGTCACAAAGTAGTTCTACGACATTGTTATTTGATCTATGAGGTAGGTGTCATTATCTTCACTTTGCAGATAAAGAAATGGGGCCAGAGAGAGGAAGGGACTGGCCCTAAGGTTATGTGTCTACTAAGTATGCAGTGCTTGGTGACTCTGAATTAAGAAATGAACCAATATCTTCTCATTCCAAGTCCAATATTCTTTTACTCTGTGTTGCCCAGTCAATGGACTTGAAAGATGTTCACACAGACAGTCCCAATGCCAAATGCTCGTTGGAGTGCTACCTTTGATTGAGTTTTTTAAAAGCTGCTATTTTAATGGATTCTAAGGGCTTTATACTCAGGGCTGAAGGAGATAGGAAGATACAATATAACCTCTGATTCTATTAGCATAAACCCAAGATAAATACATATCTATCAAGAGCCTACTAAGTGTAAGAGACTGTTATTCTCAGGGGACATGAAAACAAAACAAAACAAAACAAAAAAATAGGGTCTACTCCCAAGTGGTTACTTGGAAGACACAAGAAGTAAATAAATAAGGGCATTTTCTTTTTTTATTTTTTGGAGGGAGAAAATGGAGTTTGGTTTAGATTTGCAGTTTCACTGGGTATCTGGAGCTCTGGGAAGGCTATCTTTCTATTACTTCAGGTCACTACCTGCTTTACAAATAACAGTCTTAGAGAGTTGCTTGGGGCACTGAGGAATTAAATGACTTGCCAAGGATCACACAGCTAATATAGGTCAGAAGCAGAACTTGAACCCAGGTTTTCTCGATCCTGAGGGCTGGTACTCTTCCACTATGCCAAAATACAGGAGAAAGCACTAGCCACTAGGGACATCGGTAAAGGCTTCTTGTAGGAGGTGATCCATTAGCTGAGCCCTGAAAAAAGCAAAGGAGTCTAAGAGTCAAAGGAAAGAAAAGAATGCACTCCAGGTACCAAGGTTAGAGATGAAATGATGGGAAACAGCAAGAAGGCCAATTTGGCAGGAATGTTGACAGATGAAGGGAGGGGAGAGGAAGTAGCAGAGGAGGAGAGGGGAGGAAAGTGGGCCAAGGACAGAGCCTTGGGAGACGTTCACACAAACTGGGTGGAAAGAGATGATTCAGCAAAGGAGACTGAGGATCAGACACAGGTATAAAGAAAACCAGAATTACTTAGTTAAAACAGTTTAAGAACCCACAAAAATGCTTATGGAGTTATATAAGAACTATTGGTTGGTATTACTTAGGATAAACCAAGGAATGACAGGATCAGTTCAGGTCACCCCATGATACAAACATCTTATTTCTCTCCAAATAAGTTGCAAGGAAGTACAAGTTTAGGGCTCCTCTGAATTACCTTTTCATATCAACAATAAATTTCTCTAAAAATCCACACTTGTTCATGACCCTGCTAATTTTATATTTCTAAATCAGATTAATTTTGTATAAACTCATTTAACAATTTGGATCTAACTCTAAATATATTATAATAATCTATTATTGAGACAAAAGTATACTGGTCCTATGGAAAGTAAGAAATGTAGTTTGAAATATTGACAAGATGTAATCATCATATCATCCTTGTTATTGTTTGAAGTATTTGCTGAGTAAGCATGAAAATGAAGCCACATTTAGTTTTCAAGGCATTGCAAGTATTATTTATTGAACTGTTAAGGAGCTCATGTTAGTAGAGTATATAAAAATAAGTCAGAAAATGAAAAAAAAAATCAAGCTGTCTTTCAAAGATTCCCTTTTGCCTTTCTTTTATAAAAGCATACTTTTAGGGTCCAATTGCACAATGCTTCCGTTCCAATGTGACAAAATTGGTATTAGTGACAAAATATGTTGTCAAATATGGAATTGCAGTAGTAAAAAGTACAATATAACTTCATCACGAATCACCACACTATTACCTAGATTCATTTCTGTTATAAGTCAGATGCTACACATACAGTGTGACAATGCATCTTTTAATACAATATTGAAATTTCATAATGTCAGTGTCATTGTTGTTTTCCAATAGCATAATTATAGTAGGGTTCAACTATACTTTCAACATGCTTTAAGCAGTTCTTTAAAGTGTTTAACTGCAAAACAAATAAAACAACAAAAATATCTGAGTTACCATTAATTGGAAATCTATGTAAAATAGTTTATTTCTGACTTGTTAAACCACCCCATAAGCCAGGGACAGTAAGTGCTCTGAAGCATGTGTCACACTAAGCACACAGCTGAGCTCTTCCTCTAACAGATCAGCCCCACGTTGAATCAGTTATTTATTATGCACCAACACAGCTTCATTATGATTGCCATTAATCAGGGCTTACCAAGTGGAATGCTTTACTGTCTGGTTTAACTTTATGTTTTTCCATATACTTGATAAGGCTGCAGTTGGTATATCTGAAAGAAAAACACTATAAGATGTAGAATCATATCAGATTTAAGTTGAGATTCATTTTACATAGCAAAAAAGAGAATAATTTTTTATCTTTGATTACTCATTATGATATATATGAATATTATTATATACATGCAAAGACTAACATTAAATTAAAACTCATTTCATCCAATATCTCTTTCAGTCATCTAATGAATGCGGCTGATTAAACATATTATTGTTTAACTGAGGTGAAAATACATAATACTTATTGAATCGCTTTTTGAACACTTAATTTTACACTAAAACTCTTAGGATTTTCAAAGCTACTTCTCAAAACTTTATGTCAGCCTTGTAATTAAGTTAAAATGCAAAAATACTCCACATAAAGTTTTACAACACAGTAGTACTCTACATAAGGTTACCCCTAATCAGCATCACTAATGCATTTAATAGCTAGCATTTCAGATAGCGCTTTATGGTTTGAAAACACTTTGCAAATATTATCTAATTTTATCTTCACAACAACATTTTGAAGTAGGTACTATTATTAACCTCATTTTATAGATAGAGAAACAGTCAGACACAGGTTAAGTGACTTGTCCAGGATCATACAGCTAGTAACTGTCTGAGACCAGATTTGAACTCAGGTCTTCCTGATTCCAAGTCTAACACTTTATCCACTGAGCCACCCATTTGCCAATTATAAATATTATAAGCAAACTCCAAGAAAAACTTAACATTTTAACACTCTTTGACCAATCAAACTTCTATAATACTATTCTATGGGCCTAAGTGCCCCTATAACATTGTTTTATCTGTAATCATATTTTCATTTTACCAATTAATGATGCCTGTTAAGATATATGTGTATGTAAATTATTAGTACACAATATTTTCCCCACACGAATAGTAAATGGGCAAGAACTATGTTGTTCATTATTCACTGAGCATAAATTATTATTTATTTTGATGAATGAGCAAATAGTCAATAACAAGTTTAGCTTTTTAGTTTAAAAAATTATTTTCACATTCATCAAAATGACATTTATTCATTTATATGGAGAGAGATCTTCTGCCCTCACATATCAGGATTTTCCCATTTTAAAAATCATCACTGAACAAAGACTAAGATGACAACCATTTGTCAAAATCTAAAGGACACTAAACAGGTTCAGTATTTTGAATAATCTTGTGTTGAGTGGTATCAGGCCTCACACTTTGGTCACATGGAAATTATAAAATGGATAGGACTTCATACTATATTAGAAAGCATGCAACAAAATCCATTTTCTTTGACTTACGTATTTCTTCGGAAATCTTTCATTAAAGTTGAATGTTCAGGCATCTTTTTTATATCTTCCCAATCTTTATCTGTGAAGTACATTCATTATTTTTATTGCCCAACCTCCTACTACCAGTATACAAAATATTGGTCAACTCTATTTGAAGATGTCACCCCAATCTTTATTATGCCACGTGGAATAATTAATCTAATTTCACTTTTTGAACTAAACTTTGCTGGTCCCATCTGTAATTTTCTCAAAGGTAAGTGAAAGTTACTCCTCTTTTATAGCTTTTAAAACTGATAACAAACTTTTCTCATAATTCTCATGCTCAAAAATCTAGAGCTGGAAGGGACCTCATTTTACACATGAGGAAATTGAGGTCAGAAAGTTAAGTGACTTGCCTAAGGTTACATAGATAATAAGTAGCAGAGCCAGGTCTTGAAACCATGGCCTCTAATGATCTGACCTTGCCTCTTTATTTCATTCTTTATCACATATATTTCTTCATAGTAATATACGTAATTATTAAGAAGTAAATATAGTATAACTTGCTCTCATATGAATTTTACTTTTAGAGTCAACCAAAACTACTCAAAAGTCTTAGAAACAAAATGGGTTTGGGCAAAGAAAATTTTATTACCTAGAACAGGATTTATTACCTAGAATAGAATTCCTAAGTAAGAAAGCATCTGTTTGTCCTACCATCTAGCCAGGTTATTTTTGCCTAAGAGTTGCTCAGAAGGCTATGCCCAAATGATTGTGTTTATCATAATTATTATGAACATTTACTGAGTGCACACTGGGTATATAGTGCTATATTAAGTACAATGAAATATTTTGTTTTGTTTTTTGCTTTTTTGGCTAGCAATGGGGGTAAGTGACTTGCCCAGGGCCACACAGATAGTAAGTGTTATGTGTCTGAGGCCGCATTTGAACTCAGGTCCTCCTGAATCCAGGGCCAGTGCTCTATCCACTGCACCACCTAGGTGCTCCCTACAATGAAACATTTTAACAGCACTTTTAGCACATATATCTATGTTTATATATGTGTATGTATATACATATACACACTATATATATATGGTTAAGATGTTTTTACTTTCTCCTCAGGACTAAATATTTTTTCACTACAACTTCCTACTCAACAACAATACTGAAGACAGTGAATGTACATTCTTTATTTATAATTTATTACTAAATTGAAAATCTCCATCTCGTCAGATTCTCAACTTCACTATCTCTTTGTTAATATCATTCTTCCTATTTCTAAAGTTAGAAATCTCAGTATCAACTTTGATTCTTCTCTCTTTCATTCTCTTTATACAATTTACCAACTCCAATCAATTCTTCCTTTGAGATGCCTCACGTTTGCCCTTCCTTTGTTATCACATTAGTTAAGACCCCCACTTGAATTATTCCAACAACCTCCTAGATGGTTTCTCAAAAAATAAACTTTCTTCAATCCAATATATCTTGAACGGTGTTGTCAAATTAGTTTTCCTAAATCATTTAATCTTTCATTCATTGTGTCACTTCCTTGCTCAGGGATATGTAATAATTTTCTGTCCCCTGTTACATCAATTCAATCTCTTCTGGCAGGTTTTCAGTGCTCTCTATAGTCTGATCTTCCCTGACTCATCCAATTTATTTATCACTATTTTTCAACAATCCATGTTGTTTTCAGTCTACTCTAGCAGACTCCATAGAAGTCATGTTCATTCTTGCTTTTGGACCTTTGCTGATGCTTTTCTCCTAGAATTTAATGACTTCTCAACTTGCTTGTGACTACTCAAACCCTATCTCTTCTACAAGGCCTAATTCATATCTTTTTCAGGAAGTCTTCTGTGACTAATCCAGGACTACAGCATTTTCTGCCCTCTAAACAGTGATAGTCTGTTTCACATAATAATTCACACTTAGTTATAAATTAGCTTGTGCTCATGATGCTAAGAGACTACATGGCTCCCACACCAAGTGATAGACAGCCAGCCTCAAGACCTGGGTCCCAGTCTAGCCCATGACACAGACTGGATGTATGATCATGGGCAATTTACTTAACCTCTCAGTGCTCCCAGGCCTCTCTAAGTCTACATATTGTGAAGCAGTTGCTGATCTGAATTGGTAGAAGGAGTTTCATTACTAGGAAGTTTTCTATACCAATTAAATAACAACAATGGTCCCCATAGCAAAAAACAAACATTTAGGAGGGAAAACCTTGTAAATATTCTCTAGTTGCTCTATGCATAGGTCTTATTTTTTCAAGTAGACCCTTTAAGGACAATTCTCTCACATTTCTTTTATAACAGCACCTAGCAAGGTGCTGAGCCTATACCATAGTTGTTTGAGTTTATTACTGCTCCATCTCCCTCTGATAAACTAGATAGCAAAAAGTTATAGATACTGTAAAGAATTTGGAGACAGAAAATCTTAACTCCAGCCTTAACTCTGCTTGGGACTTCCTATAGGATCAAGGGTTAAGTGCAATTTCTCCCCAAAAAGAAAAATGATAAATCATATGTCTACTCTGTCTTATACAAAATGGGAGAATAGACTAACAGAAAAGAACACATTTCAAAGAAAGGCAATACATAAATATTTTAATAATATTTACTGCACACTAATATTAGAAAATATGAAAGTACAACTCAAGCTCCCTCTGAGGTGGTCTTAAACTACAGTAACCTTTACTATATCCTATTCCAACATGGAACCCCAAATTGCAGCAATCCCCGTGTTATTCCATTAACAGCGAGGTCTTCAAAAGAACAAAAATCTTAAAAATGTTTTGTCCTTTTTCAAACATAAAACAATTTCTATCCCTATTCCCTCTACAAATCCAGTTCACCATTTAATATGCAAATTAAATATATATAATAGTGTATATTTGTGCAACCTTTTGAACAAAAGATTCTATACAAACAGCTTTTATACTTTACTTAGTCTAACCTTTATTTAAAAAAATAAATCTTTTCAAATACAGATATCTAAAAATTAAATGAGAGTGATAAAAATGCAATATGTACCTGCAGGAAATCCCATTACATTGAATATTCTGTCCAGCTGGTCATGGTGATAAGGATTACTAGTTTTGATGTCCTCTTGTCGACAGTGAAATATTGGTTCTGAAGTTAGTAGCTCTGCAAATATACACCCTATAGCCCAAATATCTTTAAGGGAAAAAAAAAGAAAGAGAAAAAGGAAAAAGAAAAAGAAAAGGAAAGGAGGAAAATAAAGTGGATCTTTCCAAAAGAAAATGCATTGTTGGAGTTTTTTTTGGAGGGGTGAGTGGAGAAAGGGGGAAAGATTCTTTATAAAAAAGGAAAGTGTATTCATTGCTAAACAATTAACTTACAGACAATAAATACCATGAAATTACATTAATTTTAAACTCCATATTTTAAATCCTGTTGTCCCACCTCCCTCCCACCTAGTAGTCTTACTCCAAGTCTCAGTCTAAATTTAGAATAGTTGAGTGAAGTTATTTATGTCAAAACCAAAATCACATCCATAAAACAGGTTTCAAGGTCCCTTATATCAGAAGTGATAATTGAAAACAAAACAAAACTAAAATTAAGCAATACTTTTTAAAAATAGATAGGTAGGGCAGTTTTGTTTGATGAAATAATTATGTTATAATTTCTGTCTCCTTGATGATTTGAAAAGTTCAATAACTGCTCCGTTAATCTTAATTAGTAAATTTCTATTGCCAGCAGGAAAAAGTCAACTTCCAACTTCAAATATTTATTGAAACAGTATTCCTGTCCTCAAAGAGCATGTAGCCTTTCAAAGTGTTCCTTTCAGTTACAATTGTATGTCAACCTGTGAGCTGCTTTTCAGTATCTGTGACTAGCTCAGTGAAAATGGCAACATAATCACTATTTTAAAAGGGTAGGTCAAGGTGATTGCTCTATTTTTACATTATAAACTCATTTTGCAAAATTCAAACTATGCATTTATTTTCTTATTGCCTCATGTTTAAAATCTACTTAACAGAATTACTCATGAGTGAAAAAAATTTCTAAACACAAATAGGAAAAAAAAGATGGACTGACTTATCCTTTAAAAAAATAATGAAGATGGCAAGTGATATGTGATCCACTGTGTACACAACAAAAACACAACAAATTCAGGAAAATTGTATTATTCTGGCCAGTATATGTAATACATTTTTAAAAAATTATTCAGATGCAAACCAATGAAGGGGGGAAGCTTTTTAAAAATTTACTTTCAAGTAAGTTAGCTACATTAATTGTAGCCCAGTATAAAATCTGTGGAAATCCTTAGAGCCAAAGATTAATTATATTGTCACCCTCAGCAAAGTATGATTTGGAAGTGAATGAATTATTATCTACCTGTTCTTTTCTTTTTTTTTAAAGGCATTGGGGTTAAGTGACTTGCCCAGGGTCACACAGCTAGTAAGTGTCATGTGTTTGGTCTAAGGCCAGATTTGAACGCAGGTCCTCCTGACTTCAGGGCCGGTGCTCTATCCACTGCGCCACCTAGCTGCCCCTCTACCTGTTCTTGAAAGAAAGCCTATCACTGATGCAAAAAAGTTATCTTTGATATGAACTCGAGTTTATATTTCCCAATAATAAACGAATTTCTCAATTCTTACATTTCATACCAAAAAGCCATCAAGCTCAGTCAACACTTTTAAATAAAAATATATTTGGTCAAGGTAAGTAACATTTTAAACATTTATCTCTGAACAATTTTTTCACATAGCATGAATTTAAAGATACTGTTAAGTTCACCCACTATCTTTCCTTACTTAGAAATTGTCAGGTAACAATTTATACTGTAATTATACACCAAGTTGACCTATAAAAGTCTTAAAGAATCAATTAAGAAATCTACACAATGATGATATAAAATATGGCTGCAAAAAAGAGAAGTAGGTGGGACTATTACTTTTTTTTAACAACACATTAGAAGAGACATCAGAGTAAGTAGGACTGCTTAAGCTAGGAAGAATGTGGCTTGATGGATAAAAGCAAAAACATAGAAGGGGATAAAAAGAGGTAGATAAATGAAAGGGGAAGAGGGGACTAGTTTGTTCCAAGCCCTTGATCACCTATGGTAGCTTCCTTCTCAACACATACTTTTGGTATCTTCTATGTCTTGCATACTAATTTGAAGTCACTTTTTATTCATATCATTTTGCCCATTTTATTCTCCACTCAAAATTTTTCAATGATTCCCAATCAATATACAAATCAAATTAAAATACTTCAACTATGAACTTAAAATAATTCACTCAGTAGCTTATCATACCTAATTGCTCTCATTCCACACAACTCTTCAGTCTATTTTGTCAAACATATACAGAAGGTTCCTATTTATGGCTTCCTATTTCTTCTTCCTTGCACCAATGTGTCTTTTGGTAAGCTATACAATATTTATGGACTATCTTCTCCAATCTTATCTACCACATCATGACTACTTAGCCCTTCCAAAATAATGTGGTTAAACAACTGAAGGATTAAATTTGATCTCCTATTTGGCTCTGGAAGGCAGAACTAGGACCAACAAAGTAGAAATTATGGGGAAGAACCATTTGGTTCAACATAAGGAAAATTCTCCTAACAATCAGAACCGTCCAAAAAATAGAATGATCTTTTTTTGGGTGGGAGAGTGAATTCTCTATCACTGGTTGTCTTCAAAGAGGCTGGCTTGAATGATCACTTGCTGGTAATGTTGTAGATGGGATTCATGCTTTGGATGAGGTTGGACTAGATGCCCTCTGAGGTCCCTTCCAACTCTTAGATTCTAAAGACAATTTCAAAATTTTTAATGAGTTCTACTTACCAATAGCTTTGGTATAATGTCTTGCTCCAAGAAGGAGCTCTGGAGCTCGGTACCAGAATGTTACGACTACTGGATCCAAATCTGCTAAAGGCTTCAAAGGTGAATTAAATAATCGTGCAAAGCCCATGTCAGCTGTGAAATTTAAAACAACACAACAAATCCACTTGAATATTAAGAAAATAGATTTTTACAAGTTTTACTGATTATACAACATTTCATAGTACTCATGTAAAAGAATAATAGTTTGAAGTAATAAAACTTTCATTTCTTAATAAGGTTCTTCGTACAACCAACTTAGATATCTGTATGCCTTGAGTGCTATTCATTGTCACCCAGATCTTTGATTAGATTAGGTCCACTGTCCTGTTCCCTGTTCTGATAGACAGGATTCCACCTGATATGCCAACATAAAGGCAAAGAGCCATGACCCTAAGATGGATTTTGGTGTTACTGAAGACATTGTCTGTGACAATGTGACAATGAGGAAGTGGCATACAGTTCTGACAAAGACGGATGAATTATCTGCTACTTTAAATTGTCTGTGCCTATTTTACTGGCATGGATAATTGAGAGGCAAGAGTATTTTAATGTCATCCCTGACGCTTCTTCCATGGATTTATAGATTTAAATGACTAAATCACAGAATTTTAAAGCTTAAAGGGATCACAAATATCATCCAGTTCAATCCCATAATTTTACAGATGAAACTGAAGACCAGAGTGGTTAAATGACTTTTCTAAAAGTCATTACAGTCATTTATGATAGATTTGAAATTCAGTTTATATGTATGGACTGAATATATATAAAAGAGATCTATATATATGAAAAAATAACTTCTATAACATCTATTCACTATTTTTAAGCTTAACCCAGTATTAACCCAGTATTCTTTAAAAACTGAAGAATTATTAAGTAAGGTTAGCTTCTCTCCTAATGGAGCTCTTCAACAAAGTAAGCATTGTTCTACTGCACTCAAATTATTTGAATAAGAAAATACAGTAATCACTAATCTGGCAAAGGATTATAATTCTATATAATCATATTTCAAGAGATGACTGCAGTTAAAAGTAACATTTCCTTTCAAATGTGTCAATCTGCACACATTAGCTTCTCTACCTCCTCCCACATCCCCTGAGGAACTTTTACCTTAATAAGAAGTTTAATAACACCAAATTAGAGAGTTTAAATATTTTATGTAAAATCTTCCCAAATCTCACACGAGTACATGTAAAAGTATTACTTGGCAGATTCTCTCCTATTTCTTAAGCTTTGCTAGAAAAAGTATTGCTTGGCAGGTTCTCTCATTTCTTAATTTGCTAGAAGCTTACATTGGAACTTCATCAAATTTGATAGACACCTTCTTCTTTGATGCTCAGTTATCTATAAGGTCTAAAGAGATGCTTAGTGGCCTGTCCCTCAGAAGATATGATTTGAGAGTTACTATGAAGGACATATGATCAAAAATTTGCACAGTATAAGTCATAAAAATTTAGATTGTGTAGTCAGGATGCATGTAATTGATATCAACTAAAAAGAAATATCAAGTATTTATTTATACAGGGAAAAGAGAGGTGAAGACGTGAGAAGCTCATACTTTGGTACAGCAGAAACTGTCAACTGATTATCTGATACAGAACTCTTCAACTCAAAACATTAAATTTGGTACACAGGTCTACTAGTCTTCCTATTTTAAATTAAATATAATTTTGTGAAAGCATTTCATCATTTCCTAGTACAAAAATATAAAATAGCGTAAATATATATGACTAAAGCGAATAGGGAAATGATAGTGAAAAATGAGAGAAATGACACATTTGTTCTTTCCTTAGAGCCTCAGATTATCAAGAAATATGGAATTATTATTTAATTTTTAATTAAACAATGCTATTAAAGTACATAGACCCCAGGGTATATAGAATGCTTGTGTTATTTACTTGCTTTCAAAAAGACAAACACTCACACCAATACTTTTTTTTAAAAGATAGAGTGTTTTAGAATTTATTATTTTAAGCTATCAGGCATAAATGGCTGGTTAACAGACTTTTAGCAAGAAATTGTAGCTTTTAATCCAGCCTTAGTCTACAGAGAAACAAGTGTATTTATAATTCTATTGCCCTCGATGAATAGAATTGATGGGTCTTGGTACATGTTTTGTTCTATCACACAATACATAATGAGAGCCAGCACTAACTAGTCATACAAGTAGAGGTGAATCTAGTTTCTACATTAAATAATCTGTACAGGTTATACATAATGAAGAAATAGGTTTCTGGGAAACATTCACTGGCTGCTTCATGAAAAGAATGCTTCAATCTCCAGACCTATCTGGTAACTTTCATGAATGTGAAAACATTTTCTTTTTTTTGGGGGGGGAGGTTAGGCAATGGGGGTTAAGTGACTTGCCCAGGGTCACACAGCTAGTAAGTGTTATGTGTCTGAGGCCGCATTTGAACTCAGGTCCTCCTGACTCCAGGGCCAGTGCTCTATCCACTGCGCCACCTAGCTGCCCCCTGAAAACATTTTCAATTTGAGTAAATGTTCTTTAAAAATCATTTCCATTATATGAATACATGTGTATCATTGCAAAACATTTTTTTAAAGTAATATAACTCCTCTTAAAAACTCTAAAAATGTGTAGCACTGTGACTTAACAAAGATATAACATACCAATTTTTACTCTTCCTCGCTCAGGACCTTCACCCATAACTAAAATATTAGCAGGTTTCTGTGGAAACAAAATATTTGTAAGTTTTTAAGTAGACAACATGCCAGTACAAATAAAAATCCACTTGTAATTTAAAAAATACTACTTTACAAAACTGTCAACTGAATTCAGATCACCAAAGAAATGCTTATTTGTGGATATATACGTATTAAGAACATTATGATTATCCAAAACAAAGTTTTTCCTTCTCCTTTTCCATAAGCAGAGCTAAGACTTTTCTGAATTTCTTAAATAGCCATTGTTTTCACTTATGTATTCCTAGTGAACTATTTAATGGGAAGCTGATAATTCAATTCAGGAAGCATTTATTAGATAGTTATCATGTGACAAAGCCCTGTGCTAGATGCTGGGGATAACAAAGACAAAAACAAAATGATCCTTGCCCTCACGGGACTTACAGATTAGTGTATCATTTTCTTCTAAGTCCTTCAGTCAAATAAAAACATCCTGCACGATTTACATAAACCTTTCAAATATGAGTCAATATGAAAGAGCAAATAAGTTTCATGCAAATCTCTCCCAAGTAAACTGCAGAAAATTTTGTGAAAATGATTTTTCTTTAAAAAAAAATTAAACTAGAATTTAAAAGTACAAACTAAGAAAACTACTCATTCAATTTTAAAATCTCATTTTTACAATTACTGACTTATCCCACATCTAAGAGTGGTTTTTAAAAATGCTAATAATTCCAAGTACACATTTTTATTAAAATATTTAATTTTCAATTTTCTCCCTAGTTTACCCTGATAGGCTTATTCATTCAATATGGCCATAGTTTGCTAAATAGTACAACTGTATTACAACACAAAAGGGGGGGAGAGTAATCCTTAAGATCACATTGCATATTTTTGTTTCAATTGTATTTACTCAATACAATAGGGTCTCCTAATCCTCTCCTGTACTAATAAAGCCTCTATACTGCCATTGCACAAGATTCAATACCATACAAGATAATACCATTCAGCTACAAAAAATAAAGATCTGTTTTTGGTTTTTTTTGGCTAGGCAATGGAGTTAAATGACTTGCCCAGGGTCACATAGCTAGTAAGTGTCAAGTGTCTGAGGCCAGATTTGAACTCAGGTCTTCCTGACTCTAGGGCCAGTGCTGTGTTCACTGTGCCACCTACCTGTCCCCAAGATCTGTTTTTGATATCAAAAAGAAAGTACACTACTGAGCTATTATTCTCTGTTTGCCATAAAGCTCCAAAGGTTAGAAATTTATAGAATCGTAGAACTCTAGGAATGGAAAAGACAAGAGAAAATTTATTCTAAGCACCTAATTTTAGAAATGAAGTGACTAAGACCAAAGTGATTGCCCCAGGAAACAAAACAAATTAAAAATAAAACTATGATTAAAACCTGATTCTTAGTCAGATGGATGCCCTTTCTATAATATGCTTGAAAAAAATACTACGTGACAAAGATTTGTCTATTAATGAATACTGACATGCTCATTTTTAATTTTTATTTTCTTCTGGAAAATGATACCAGAACTTAGCCAGTTTCTCAAATGCCATAAATGCATACACTTCTAACCGTGATAGGGTTCAATAATTGCCTTTTAACTTTTAACAGGTATTCTTACCAATATTCCCCCTAAGGTTCATCCACGTGTGACCATAAACATACAAAATTGCTTATACATACACTTTAGTTTATTGTAGGTCAACTGGTTCACCATGGAGCCTGCATCTCACGAAAAGAGAATAAAATCATGAGGTCATAGATGGAGAGTTGGAAGACACCTCATCTAGTCCAACTCCCTAATTTTAAAGATGAAGCAAGAGAAGTTATATCACCTGAAAATATCGGATCTTGTCTGATCTCGGAAGCTAAGTAGGTTTAGGCCTATAGTTAGGCCACCTGGATGTTAGATCACTTGGGAGTAGTGGGTACTATAAATTTTGAGAGGCAGTACAGCCTAATGGATAGAGTGCTGAACTGGGCGATGTGAAGATCTAGGTTCAAATCTAGCCTGACTTTTATTAACTAGGTCACTCCATGAAAAGCACTTAATCTCTCTAAGCCTCCATTTTTTCATCTGAAAGGATGGTTGGACTAGGTGCTTAAAAGGTCCCTTCTTCCAGCTTTGAATCTTTGATCTTATGACCCTGCAAATGACATACTACACACTGCTCTTGAGTAGAACAAGTCAATTCCATCCAGCTCAATAAACATTTACTAAGAGTGCTGGGTTCAAGACATTAAAAGTGAAAGCCTCTAGAGTCTCAGGGAATTTACAATATAAAAGATGGAATTGGCATGTACACAAATAAGTACAAGATAAGAAGTGATGGAACAAAAGAAGAGATCAAGATGAAGTAATCTAACAAAATTTGAGCAGAATTTATGATTGAAGAGAAATCAGAGAAGGGTTTATGGAGCAGGTGGCACTTTAGTTGAGAGTTAAAAGAAAATAAGGCATTCAAAAGCCACACATTTAGTCCATATCTCTCCATCTTCTCCATAAAATTCTTTGCTCTAATACACACAAACTACACCTACAGATCTACCTCCCCTGCTTAAATTTGTTATAAAAAAAAAAAAAGAAACAAAGAAAAGAAGATTAGTCTGGCATGAACTGTTTTTTACCAGTCATCCTAGGTCTTTGTTATCAAAGTTTCCTTTTTTTTTTTTTTAATGAACTAAGCTCTTTAGTATATACCATAGGCTAACCACCAATTATTTTCTTATCCATGTAACTTATCAAAATCTACACTTTCTAGGAAAGAAAATCATATCTGCCCACCTTACTTGTGTGTGGGCATGATTTCTCCTCTGATCATCCCCCAAGGACCTATCGGTATGGACACTCCTATTTACCCAGGGAGCTGCTGGGACTAACCCCATCTCCCACTTGAACTTCACCAATTGCTCCAGCTTATTTATTAGTGTAGTGTGGAAGGTCCCTAGCTAAAGCTTGGTGCATCTTCAGGTGGGGATCCCTAAAAGTTAGGTATTTGCTATAAAGCAGAGAGGTTATGAAAAGGAGGCATAAATCCAGTTGACCAAATTTATCTCCGAAAAGATTTACCCTTTTACTTGCTGTCTACTAATATCAGGGAACTGCCTATAAAGGAAAACATCTTTATAAATCCAAGTATGCATAACTTCCCAATTCGGTCACCTAAAAAGAGACAGAGGGCAATCTCCATCTGGGCTCTCTAATTGGTTCAGCTGACTTGTAATGTAAATGCAAATCCTCTGAAGCTCTCCAGCCTATGGAACTCTGCAACTGCCAATTAGCCCTTGTGCTAATGATTCATTAACTTGAGGTTTAAATTTCTCCTACAAAAATCCAAATTTATTGAGGGTGAAAGCCAATCCACTCTGAGGCCTCTATTAAAAGGCCCAAGGATGTTGGCAGTATCAGACAGGAGACATATTCTAGAGATGTTACAGAAGTGAAATTGACAGACCTTGGCAACAGCTTGGATGTGGGGGGAGGGGAGAGATGAGAAATAGTGGGAAGTTCAGGGTGCGTCCTAGGTTGTAAGCCTGGGGGACTAGGAAGATGGTGGTGCCCTCAACAGTAATAGGGAAGTCTGAAAGAGGGGAGGGTTTGAAATGTAAAACCACATGAAGAATACATGTGTCTGGGTTAAAATCAGCTAATATGGTATATTTTGCTTATGATGTTTTTGCTTTCAAGCTAAAAGTTCACTGGTATGTTTTTTTCTAGCTGCCTATGTATCCTCTAGTATATTATTAGTTTTTGTTGTCAACTAAGAGTTTGGTTCTTAATACATTAAAAAAAAAAACAAAAAAAAAACCTGAAAAAAAAAGTTGTTGAAAAGAAAAGTAACTTTGCACAGAGTGGCAATGTGGTATAATACAAAGGACACCTGATGTGAAGTCAAGAGGACAGGGGTTCAAATCCTAGCTGTTTGTTTTTGTGACCCTGGGAAAGTCATCTCAGCTCTTTGAACCTCAGTTTCTCCATCTGCAAAAGGAGAAATCCAAGCTTAAAACCCAGAATATGTAAAATGTTATAATCAATATTCCCTCTCATTTTTGGTAATTATGAACAGATAAACAGCTCAATGAGCCAATAACTATGCTTGCTATACAGAAAGCAAACTGGAAAGAAAGTTTGGCTCATTATATCCTCTCTAGTTTTCTGTAATGTGAACAGATGAGCAAATTCAGTGGGCTAACAATTGTGTTAGCTATATACAAAGCAAACTGGAAAGACCGAACAAGGGTGAACAGAGCTTTTAGTTAGTTGATTGAAGGGAGAGGTCAACTCTTTATTTTTTCTTTTTGTGAGGCAACTGGGGTTAAGTGACTTGCCCAGGGTCACAAGCTAGTGAGTATCAAGTGTCTGAGGCCGAATTTGAACTCAGATCCTCCTGACTCCAAGGCCAGAGCTCTATCCACTCTGCCACCTAGCTGCCCCAAGAGGTCAACTCTTGTTGGCTGTCCAACTTGTCTGATCATCCCTGCTGCTCCCAAAAGGGAAAGGTGGCGTGGGAGGGAGGGTAGGTTTAGTTTTACTCTTGTCTTTGTATTCCCAGTGTCTAGCCTAGTATAGAGCCTTTCACAAAGTAGAAAATTAATAAATGTTTATTGAATTGAATACAGGAACCCATCCAGGGCTGTTCTACCAGAATACACATTAAGGCCTAAGCTTAGCACCACCAGAATCAAAAGCAAGCATTTATTGGGCTGCTTGTCCTTCTCAGAATCACCTCATATCTATTTTGTATACACCTACATATGTATAAATTATTTCCCCTAAGTATATGGTAAGCTTTCTGGAATGCTGGGATTGTTTTAATTTTTGTCTTTGGACTTCACTATATTAAATGTCTATATCCAAGGGACAATGTTAAGCTAGGCACCGGGAATACAAATCCCTACCTTGCCCCCTTCCCCTCACTCCACCTTCACCTTGTGGGAGCAGGGGGTATAATCAGAGGAGTTTGGCAGTCAACAGAGCTGACCTTTCCCTCCAATCCATTCACTAAACTGTTTACCTTTGTTCAGGCTTTCCGCTT